GGAGAGAAAGCGATGGTAGGAATTCAATTGAGGCAATAAATTAAAGAAACAAACCATCGAGAAAATAAGAAGAAGAAGAAAAAAAAACCTGCTGTGAAGATAAGGAGGATGAAGAGGAAGAAGAGAAAGAAAAAGAATGGATGTGAGAGAAGACAAGGATGTGAGAGAAGAAAAGTATGTAGAATTCTCACACACACACACACGGAGCTCTGTGAATGCTGTTGATGTGCACACACCCCAGAAGTACCTTTGAGAATAAGACTGTAACAAAGTACTGCACTAAAGTACAGCCCAGAGGGTGTGATCACTGTGTGTGTGTGTTACGGTGTTTGTGGGAGAGGACGTGCGCACACACTAACACACACACACTAACACACACACACTAACACACACACACACACAGAGTGATGCTGCAGGTGGTGCATTATTAACAGATTTGTCACTTTAGGCCGATCGTGTTACGTACATGTGTGTATCAAACACACACACACACAGAGTGATGCTGCAGGTGGTGCATTATTAACAGATTTGTCACTTTAGGCCGATCGTGTTACGTACATGTGTGTATCAGTGTGTGTATCAGCGTGTGCATGTGTTTGTGTTTGTTAGGATGTGAGGATTTAAAGACTACAATATTAGACGTTAGGCCTAATTTAAATTTTAATTTCAGGCCTTTTCTCACAGGACACCAGTCATTCTAACAACTCCAAAGTTCATAGACAAAATCGTTTTGTTTTTTTTTGGTTTTTCAACTCACAGGGACAAAAATTGTTTGGTCCACTGCTGCCTCCTGTGGTCAGTTTGTGTCACTACAGCAAATTTGTGGTAGATTCAGCGTCAGTGGTTTATAAGTGCTAGTGATGGCATCAATACCGTTGTATCGATAAATGAGTATCGATTACTCTCATAAATAATTAATACTGATTAATGAACGGAGAAAGCACACGTGTCACTTTTGCATCTTTTACGGTAACTTTTGTGCTGCAACTGTTCCATGCATGTCTCGTGACCACTGACCAGAAGAGGGCAGTGACTCCATGTGGTCGAGACGTCTTTGTCCCGTAACTGTAGCAGTTAAACTATTTAGGTTACGTAATGTAATTTGTTGTGACAAATGCACTTTTAAAAATACATATTGACGTTTTAAATGGTTTTTATTTATACTGTACTTTAGTACTGATATCGGTATTGGTGTAAAAAAAAAAAAAAAAAAAAGTAATCTGCATCGTAATCTCCTCCTCTCTGATACAGACTTTAGGAAATGGGATGGTAAGTAAGCCAATCAGGATAAGAATGAGGCGAGGCTGGTGTAAAAAAAACACAATCGAATGTAAAAAACAAACAAACATGGCTTTAATTCACAGAATGTCATACGAGTTCTTTCATACTTTAAATCCTCTTTTCGTCTTGCTGGTGTATCCTTCCAAAAAAAAAAAAAAAAAAAAAAAGGAGTCACGAAATGAATGTCAGATAAAAGACAAAAAACATATAAGCTATGACAAGAATCCCAACTCTGAGCAGCTGCCGTCGCCAACTGTTTTCCTTCGACTCGTCGTCTAATCCTGAATGACTAATAGAAACACGCGCAGCAGATCCATACGCTGGTTCTGTTAATTAGACTGAAGTATTTGTTTCTCTGCTTTCACTCAGTCAACACTCTTTACAGAAAGTGAACCAACAATTCAAGTTGATTCAATTAAACCAACACTGTGGGGTCAAAGGTCACCATCATCTAATTTTACTGGACAGCCCCTCCTTTGCCTGAAAACGCACACTCGGCGAAGCTACGTACAGAGGCCGAGCAGAAAGATTTAGAGATAGATAGATATCTTATTGATGAGATATAGATATAGAACATATAAACACTAAAACCTCACCACTTAAAAGGTGTTGATTATTAGGTTTGTTAGCTTCTCGTTTAGCTATCGCTAACCTTCCCTTGGCTAAGATACAGGTGACACGCAATGTTGTTATTTACACACATTGTGGGGAAAATGTTTGTGTTTCACACAGCAACTGCAGAGTAATTTACCATCAATGGCCGACATGCGTCGGACCAGCCTCGCCAAGTGGAGGGCAGCAAGTGAGTGAACGACTCACAGGATAACTGACACATTGTCAATTGGATTACAAGGGACTGTAGATCAAGGGCTTTACACAGGGTTTGAAAGCATCACTCTACGCACCCTGCAAGCCAAAATTGTGGGATTTTTAAAAAAAGATTTTTCCATATCAATAATTCCATCAAACATACATCTACATACCTATGCACGTCTCATCAGATTACACAGATGTAAAAGAAACTTTTCTTTCAACCCTGACGTCAAAGTCCAATCTTTTAATTATGACACTCTACCTGTCACTTCTCACCCTCCTCCCAACCATCCAGTCCCCTTGCAATCAGACCTGTCTGTCACGGAAAAGTTCCCTAATGACCGTATATTCATGACAGAAAATCGTTGCCTTCTTTCATGTGACCTGTCATGTGACCCATGTCAATGATTTGCTCGTTGTCTTCGCTAAAATATTAAGGGGGGAAAGGTACAAAACAAGTTTCCTTGGAGCCTTCTTTGCCACAACAAATTCCAAACGGTAATCAATACTTTTCCTCTCCCATTCGCATTTTTTTTTAATGCATCCGAAAGAAATCCTTCACTGTGAATATTTTTATCTGATCAGAAAACATATAAACACACTGCCATGAAAAAAAATCTTAGAGATGCAACCGCCCTTCACTCGTATCTTTCCTCCCTGATACGTCACAACCTTCCCCCCCCACGACAATCGATCTTTCACCCCCCGGCCCCCAGACCCACTCAGTCATATTCATCTAATGAGCCGCATTGATAATTCAACAGATATACGTCAGATTTATCTTCGTCTTTGGGATAAAAAATGGTAAAGAAAGTGGAAAGGATATTTTGAGATCCTGCCTCCTCTTCCTTCTTCCTTCCCTTTTTCTTTTCTCTCCAACCTCTATGTGCTTCTGCAGTAGTGTTCAGTATTTCCTTGTCTAAAAAACTAATGCATATTTGCATATATTAAAGCATAAAGTCTGACCCTTTTCAAATATGCATTTTCTGTGGCCATATACACGTCAATTATTATTATCATTTGTTGTTTTCTTTTTTTATATAAATATTTCTTTTTTTATAAAATTGTTGCCGCAAAATCAGTTTTCTGCTCTGCACCAACAACGCAAGCATTATTTTATCACTCTGCAAAAATGCCTATTATAAAATCCTAAAATAATCAATTCCTTTCAGCTACATGTAAGTGATCAGCTCATTGTCCACTTTAAAATAAGGCAGAAATAAAATACGTTGTTTTTAAAATCAGTGTCAGTAAATGTATCTGTTTGTTTTTTTTTTGCTCCAAAGCTGATTCCAAACCCTTGGCACTGGTTTGGTGACGTATCAGTCTCTGCCTCAGTACGATCTGTAAACTTAAGTTATATATTTAAAGTCAGGGGATTCGATCCCATCACTGTGAGGGAGGAACAGCGCAACATTTTCCTGCTTCTGAGACACTTGCGTTTTAAACCTCAAACCTCGGCTCGTCACTCGTGACTCCTCACCATTTATTTCCTAGCAGCTCGTTATCAACGGTAACCTGGCAGAAATAATTACAACAGCTTTTCTCATGGTCTGAAGCAACAACTCATGTCTCGTCTCTCAATCTTGTACCAAATGTCGGGTATTTGTGCAGTACATTAACCTCGCGTTTTACTTTTTTACACCCCCAACCGATCAGGGTACTGCTTTCATTTTTTTCAACCAGGTCACAACATTTTTCTTCATTTTTCTGCTTAGGATTTGAAACGTCACACGTAATCTGATTGTAAAAGTGAGATTTTTTTTCTCTCTCTCTAATTTATACAC